ACACACACACACACACACACACACACACACACACACACACACACACACACACACACACACACACACACACACACACACAGATTTGAGTCTGCTTTACAAAAGAGTCAGTGAAGGAACCTCTGGTGCATTAGAACATAAAGGTTTAACAAGAACCTCTTTAGTGATGTATCCATCCTTGTTGATGTCATAAAGGTTGAAAGCCCAGTTGAGCTTTTCAGTGACAGATCCTCTCAACAACACAGACAGACCAATCACAAAGTCCTGTCACAGAGAGCAGAGAGTAGACAATGAAGACAATGAAAAAATGAGGGTGATAAAAAAAGCTGTGATTAAGGATATTCTCACCTCAAAACGAATTGAGCCATTTCTATCAAGATCAAACGCATTAAACAAGAAGTGGGCGTATGTGGTGGCATCTGAGGAAATAACAACAAATAGACCAGTAAGAACAACAGACTAATTAGTCCAATTAATCCCAAATCACAATTCATGCAAAACCAATGAACACATTTACTGATTTAGTAAAAAACATGTGTATTTACCCCCTTGGGGAAAGAATTGAGAGTAGATGGTCTTGAAAGTTTCCTCATCAACCAAACCACTTGGGCACTCCTTAAATGGAAAGAGAGGCACATCTAATTAAACATTTAATTAAACAGATAATGGACTAATTCTCACTGTGCCACATCGGCAGCTCGTGAAGGTTTTAAATAAGTGCAATGTGCTCATTTTCTGTCCTATATAGTACACATCTGCTGATACAAACAGAAAGAACAACATTTTCAACCCCAAAGCTCTGTATAGTATAGTAACTGTATAGTATAATAATTAAAATACTACTACTGTTTGCAATTGGGTTGAGTTTTCACCTGGTGGACAATAAAATGGTTGAAAAAAGAGACTTATGTTAAGTGAGTCATATCAAGGGACCAGAATATCATAGAGAATTGGGCGCTTTTGAGCTGATGGATCAGTAAGAAACCATCTAGCAGCCATCCAGAATACTCTGGAAACTGTGTAGGTGAGTTTAATGGTTAAATGTAAAATGTAAAAAATCGATCTTTTTGCAGTTCTGTTTGAAGTTAAATTTCAAATGTAATGCTCAGCATAAAACTTTTTTCATATCATTCATTTCTTTCTTTTAAAACTGTAGCAAAAATACCAAATTCTTACTCTGCAACATACAGTCTCGATATTTGACCCACCACAAAAAAAGAAAACAACTGAGCACAAACATGAACTGAACTTTAATCCTTATTTGTCCCCGGTCTTCAAAAGATACTCACGTTTTTGAAGCCCCTATAAAGGGACTGCAGCTCCTTCTTGGTGAATTTGGTCTGAGCCTGCAGCTGCTCCAGACCCTCGGGCTGATGTCGCACCGTGGACAGCTCGAGGTCACTGTCACTGCTGTCTATGGGAGAGAAAGAGCAAAAAAAGAGAGAGGAAGAGGGGGAAAGCAGAGAGATAGAGGGGGAAGGGGTCGGGAAGGGGGTGAGTTGATGGGATGCAGGACGGGATGGGGTGAGAGAGCATTTCAAAGAGGGAGACAGCGGTTGCGAGGAGAGAAAGAGGAAGAAAAAGGGGAGTAAAAGCAAAAGAGTTAGCATAAAAGTCAAAGATGTGCAGGAAGAGGAAAGAGAAAGAAATGGAGGTTTGATAGACAGGGTGACTCTTTCTTTTTCAATGTGACTGACTGTTGGTGTCAATGTGAATGACTAATTTGAGGGTTTCCTTACTGTTAGGCTTCAGCAATTCTAATGGGTGGAATTCAGTATTTCTTCTAAACTCTGCTAGTGTTTGGATATGAGCTAGTATAGTCAATCACATAATGAAGAAAGCATCCCACAAAAAGAAAAAGAGATAGACCGAATAACAAAGAAAAGAGACTAAACTAGACAGGTGCTTACACTCACCGTCTTTACAAAAACAGATAAAAAGTGAGATAGGGAGGAACGAGAAGGACAGAAAGGGTCAGAGAGAGTGAAAGGAGAAAAAAGAGAGAGAAACAGTTAGGTCAAAAAAGCCACAAAAAATAGAGCAATCACTAAGAAAAAAAGAAAAAAAGGAAGAGAAACTATATCAAATAATCAGTGTTGTTATTGTTAACTAAAAAGATTTACTACTTCAGTTAATCATGTTAATTGAAATAAAGCTGAAATAATATAAAATAGAAATATTAGATGAAAAACTAATTTGGCAACTAACAACAAACAACTAAACAAAACTTGTTTTCCAGTAAAGAAAAAGAAATAGCTAAACATCCTTAATACAACAAAATTGTAGCAATTTTGCAGAAGCAAAAACTGTATATGACAATAAGACAATATTTGTATAGTATTAATAAGAAATTAAATTACAATTCAATTTCATTAAAACATTAACTTTTGAACTTCAATCTAACAAACATTAGTGAGTTTTATGCTTATAACAAGAAAAAAATATTTTTATTGGAAAAAAATCAACTAAATTCAGCATAAATTCTCTGAATATTATATGCAAATTTGCCTCTCAAATAAACGTATTTTATTTTAAGGAAGATTAGATATTTGGACTGAAATGCCACAGATGCTGTAAAAAAAAAGCTTGTACAGTGTTAAGGTCATGTAAATATAAGACAAGTAGGCTATAACATCTAAGCAACCCCTGGAATGATGTTTGCTAGTTTCTCTCTCTTTCTCTCACCTGTCTCAGTTATGTCTATGAGTCCAAGCAGATGCATGAGTTTGAGAAACATGATGACCAGGCAGACGATGCCCACAGTCTGTAACCCCTCTGTCTCCCATCTCACACTCATCCTGACACTCTGTCCCTCAACACGTCTTGTTCTTCCAGCTCAGTCCAGTTTTACACTGTTAATTCCACAAGCTTCATAAATGAAACATAAGTATCCTAGAAAGCCGATAACGTAATTGAGGTAGAAAGATGGGCAGATGTCCTGTTTCGAGAAACATCTGTTACACTTTTCGAAAAACTCCCAAAAAACATCTTATGTTGATGTCATCTTGTCTTAGCCTTGTGTCCAAAATTACTTTGGAGTCCAGATATACGCTGGTAAATCTCCTCTCTCATTCCTCTATTCTTCTCGCATCTATTTAAAAGTTCACTCTGACACAATTTTCAAAGGGAATTGAGAAAACTCCCACTCAGGAGACAAGGTTGTCCCAATTAGATTTAGACACAACCCCAACATGAATCTTGAACTTTGACATGATGATAAAAAACAGACACCTTGTCAAGTCACCGAGTCAACGCAGCAAATCATTACGTTTTGTAGTACATACATTTTGGTCCTCAGGAATGCAGTTCATAAGAAGCTTCCCTGACGAAAGTAAAACGTTTTTATGCCTTTGATTGGTCTGGAATGGACAATTAATATTTGAAGTTGTTGGAACAGATGCACAATCACAAGGTGCCCTAAATCCTGCTTCCCTTGTCTTGTGAACCAGATTCCCACTACTAATTGTTCTCTCTGTATTTCAGCCTTTGTGATATGACAGTGATCTACAGAGACTGTTCTTCATTTATCCTCTTACTGGCAGCATTGTTATTCAGTGCTCTCTTGCCAAGAATGATCCTTTAGATTTTGTCATGCACAACAGATTTATGACAGCCAAAACCATTAGCACCGAAGAATTGAAGAGTTTTCAAAGGGGATTGATCCTAACGATGTTAACAAAAGTACGACTGATGTTTACCGTTTACATAAACAGTACAAATGTATTTTACAGGCCAAAGTTCAATAAATCTTTAGTATTAGAGTGCAAATATAATCCAAATGGGTCTTGAACTTGGCCCTTGAAGTGGCAATAAGCAAAACTAATTCACAAATTAAACTGATTCAATTTTACAAAATAATGCATTTTATAATAATAATGAATTGATATACACTATTGTTCAAAAGGTTGGGGTCTATAGGATTTTTAAAAATAGTTTTGAAAGAACTCTCTTATGTTCACCAAGGCTGCATTTATTTGATCAAAAATACAGTAAAAATAGCAATATTGTGAAATACTAATTTAAAATAGCTGTTTTCTGTTTGAATATATTTTAAAGGGGTCATATGATGTGATTTCAATTTTTCCTTTCTCTTTGGAGTGTTACAAGCTCTTGGTGCATAAAGAAGATCTGTAAAGTTGCAAAGACTAAAGTCTCAAATCCAAAGAGATATTCTTTATAAAAGTTAAGAGTCAGCCACGCCTACGTAAAACGGCTCATTCTAACACGCCCCCACATACCTTCGTCACTATGTGGGAAGATTTGCATAACACCACCCAAATGTTCACGCAAAGAAAGAAGGCGTCACTTTTATTCTCGCTGTAGTTTTGTTGTTGCTGCCGCCATGCCCTGAAGACGCTGTGTGCTTCGTTGTGAAAGCAAAACTACTTTGTTTGGCCTTCCCATATCGCTTCGTCACGCCTGGAGCTGATCCGTGCTGGTCGCTGAGGAAATACAACAACTTCGCGCTGTGGATCGCCGGATCGGCTTTCACCGTGGACGAAACGGAGTCCAGCTCGGGGTCATCACATGTGGTTGCCGCAGGCATCACAATATGGTAAGGGACGTAACATTTCCGTCACACGCTTGAGGAATTCGGCCAATCACAACGCACTGGATAGCTGGCCAATCAGAGCACACCTCGCTTTTCAGAACGATGAGCTTTGTAAAAATCGACGCGTTTCAGAAAGGCGGGGCATAGAGAAACAATAATGTACAGTATGTGGAAAATAATGTGTTTTTATAAAAACAGTATGTGTTTTTTTAACCTTAAACAGCATAAACACATTTCATTACACCAAATACACAAAATAATGTTCTTTTTAGCAGCATCATATGACCCCTTTAAAATATAATTTATTTCTGTGATGCAAATCTGAATTTTCAGCATCATTACTCCAGTCTTCAGTGTCACATGATCCTTCAGAAATCATTCTAATATGATGATTTGCTGCTCAAGTAAAATTGTATTATTATGAAAGAAAACAGTTGTGCTGCTTAATACTTTTGTGTAAACGGTGACAACATTTATTTATTTATTATTTCTTTTTGATTCTTTAATTAATAGAAAGTTCAAAGGGAGCATTTATTTGAAATAGATATCATATATAACATCACAAATGTCTTTACTGTCATTTTTGACCAATTTATTGCAAGTTTGCTTAATAGAAGTACTTATCTCTTGCAAAAAAACAACAACTTTTGAATAATAATTATTCCTTTTATGATGAAGCAAGAGACAATGCTGCAATTTGTGATCCATTTATTTGAAATAGATATCATATATAACATCACAAATGTCTTTACTGTCATTTTTTGACCAATTTATTGCAAGTTTGCTTAATAGAAGTACTTATCTCTTGCAAAAAAACAACAACTTTTGAATAATAATTATTCCTTTTATGATGAAGCAAGAGACAATGCTGCAATTTGTGATTCCTAAAATCCCACTGGCTGTGAATAGAGAAATGCTTTTTTAGAACCAGAATGTCTAACCATGCTAACCAGCCAAAACTTCACCCATTGGTTCCTCGCCTGAACCCAACACCCAGGTTTGAGATCATAAAGAAACATCGCCCTCTGGTGGCTGATGCTTCACGTCTGCGGTGCACCACAGTAGACAATTTGCATTATACTATGAGCACAAACATGCAAGTTGAACAAAATAATAGTTGACAGATCAAATGCCTCTCATGCAACAGAGCCGGCACATATAGATCATTACGCACGCTTCCCTTCAAAAGTAAAACTTCAGCGTCTCTGATTACGTATTAGATTCACACAAGCAGAAACCCAAAATAAACTTCACCCTCCTGAAACACGGCTCTCAGGAATAGACAGAGATGTAGTAAGTGATGCCACTGAGCTAAAAATAGTCCCCTGCTGATCCGCTGGATGGTCTGGCTCACGGACCAATACTGGAAGAAGATTTACGTTTAGATTACAGGAGGCACTCAGACCCTTCCAGATGATCAAGTGTTTATTTGCATAACTGGCGGTTATAAAAGCTGATGTGTTATGTCTATACTGTTAGCACCTATATCGTATATCCTTGCTGAAAAAAACTGTGTAAACCAACCTTAAAACTGCTGGTCTTAGGTGGTTTTATCTGGTCTACCCTGATTTCCCAGTCTGACAGCTGACAAGTAGTCAAAGCATCATAAAAATACACAAACCAAGCCAGCCAAATATGGTTTACACTGCAAAAAATTTATTTTTGTATTTTTGTCTCGTTTTGTAGTATAAATATAAAAAAAATTCTTGAATCAAGACGCATTTGTTTTAAAAGTAAAATGACTTAAGATGTTATGTTTTGTTTTCTGAAAAACAAAAACAAAATTGTGTTCGTTTTTGCTTAAAACAAGCAAAACTATCTGCCAATGGGGTAAGAAAAATAATTTTAATTCAAAGGCAATTTTTCTTGCCCCATTGGCAGATAGTTTTGCTAATTTTTGCTGAATTTTTTTTTGCTTTTTAAGCAAAAACGAACAAAATTTTGATAATATTATTTTGATAATATTTGATAATATTATCAGGATATTGATAAGACTGCATTGTTCACGACTTTAATCAAAAGTGCAGCTCAAAGCACATTTCAATAATGCCATTCTTTTCACTTGTAATACTTTTAATGAAGAAAATAACTGATAGTTTTAGATTGATTCTCATTAATAACAATGACCAATCACCTCTGTTCCTGAAAGTCAAACAGAAGAGACACTAATGTCGAGAGCATTTAAGAAATACCCAACAAAAATACAACCAGATTAATCAAGCAAGAATATGAATGTACAAAACAGCACACAGATGCCAAGTATTCCACATCGTTGCAGGCCAATTGTCACATGACTCTTAATGTCTTGATAGTAAGTAATTTGAGAAAAACAAAGATGCGACACGACACAGGGCATGTCCACCAGACCGCAGACGAAGTGTGGAGAAAATAAAAATATCTCCAATCTCAAGTTTGTGACTCCAGAGGAAGTGCGTCTATATGAAGGTGCTGACTCTGATCTGTACTTTCAGAAATGATTGGCGGATATGATCTTGTGATGAAGTGAGGGGTAAGAGGTAAATGAGTGCCCTTCAGGACCCAGTACAGAGACCAGCGGACCCATTTTTAGGTAGCCGTAAAGAAAGCCTGTTCAATACAGCATACATAATGAATGAAGGGTAATGCTAGACTGGGTTTTGATTCAAAGAGAGAAAGTGTGTGTGTGTGTGTGTGTGTGAAAGAGAGAGAGAGAATGCAGTATTTCTGACACCAATATAACATTCTCAATAAGTTACTTGTCTTTAAGTATGAGGGGGAAAAAAATCTGGATGTGCTGTTTGTTCAAAACAAATCACATACTAGCACACCATAAACCTAAACAATAAAAAATGTCCTATAACATTTATCATTAATAACAGACACACCCACACAGGTATAATCAGCTACTTAGGTAGTTATACAGTAAGTCCATTAACTTTTTTTTTTAAATCAACTGATTTTAATCACCTTTTTTAATGTAACATTTAGTTCAGATTTAGCTTTTAATCTCCTAATTAATAAGGTGATAAAAGCAGCAATCATAATAATTATGACAAAATGCTGTAGCTAATACTTTTAGATGGAGTATAGCATGTCAGCTTAATTTCATATCAGATGGAATATAGCATGTTAAATTTATTTAACTTCTATTTCATGTAAACTGCTCATTTAAATGAGGACATACAATAGCCTTCAATTGTTTTATATAAAAAAAAACAATAAGCTAATTAAAATTTATAATTGGCAAATAATATATCAACTAATTATGATTACTCCTTTTTAGAATTAAAAGAAATATATTATTTACTCTATGATTTATTTTTTTACTTTTAAGATCGTCCCCAAAAGGAG